TGAGTGATCTTGTCTGTGAGTCATTTGACTTGCAGGATTATATGTGTCGTGGTCAAAACATGGTGTATGGCTTATTGTCATCCATCTCATATTGGGTCTCCTGGATCAATGCGTATATCAAACCCTGTGCAAATGGATTGATGGCCATCCCCCAATGTGGCTGTATAATCCAACTTGTGATTATGGTTGGTTGTATATCCCATGATATTCCCATTCTATTCCCACTATATAATTACAGTATATTCCCATTGTGTCGCCATAACTTTTCCCATGATATTCCATTCATGTCCCACGAATTTCCCTTTAAATCCCTATTGTTCACGAAAACTTAACCCCAACTTTTGACCATGTTTAACTCCGAAAGCCCTCCTTGGTGCCCCCAACGCGCCGTCGCCGGCCGCTACGTCCAGCTCGGTGCGCAGAGGGTAGCAGGAGCGGCGGATGCCTTGGCAGCGGTGATTTCAGCGGCCAAAATGGCGGGTGTACCATGATTTAACGAGCAAAATTGAGGGAAAATTTGGATTTACCATGATGTAACTAGCAAAATTGAGGGGAAAAAAATGTTGGTAAAAATGATCCAACTGGAAAAGCTGAAAAAGTTCAACTAGTTCAGCAGCAAAACTGGTGGAAATTGGGCAGAAAAATTGTCATCAATAGAAAAGGATCAGTCTGTTCATCATTTTAGTGCCCAGTCTGCCGCTGGCTGATCCAAACTATGGACGTATACTAAGTTCTCAGATTTCCCAGTCTATCCCTTCGAATTCTCACCATTTCCACCACCTCTGACCAAAATAGGACCAGCAGACTATCCTTCCCGGAAAGGAAATCCTTCCAACACCCCGTGGAAGTTCGAGCTGCGGATCAATGCTCTGGCTGTGTTGAAGGCCTGGAGTTGAAAGCGTGCGCAGAGTTCAACCAGTGGTTTCTCCAAATTCTTGGAGGTCCCAAACGGATTGGCACAAGATAGAGAGAATCTGTTTTTGACATGTAAGATATGGAAGAAACGAATTGCTGCTGGCATGGTAGGGCTGACCCGGAGGACATGACCATGTCATCTTTTATGATTCCAGCTTCTCATTTCTCTCCCTTGTCACGAAAAATGTTCAAAAGCCCAGCTCCATCTTGCATCTTTTCTGGGCAAATCTCAAGATACCATTGATAAATTTACCTTGAAACAACTTGGAAAAATCCATAGATTTCCCTTTGAAAATCCCATGAAACTCCCACATTTTTCACCACCCCAAGGACCCTACCGCCCCACGTCCCCCACCTGGTTCTCACGATCCACCACCGGATCTTCGCACCAGTGCGGCCCACCCGCACCCATCAGGTGGTTCATGATGCCCACCTGCCAAAATCCAACAAAAAAGGCTCGGAGATCTGAGATTTTGCAGAGATTTTGTAGGAAAAAGATGGAAAAAAATCTATCTGAGACTGGAAGATATCCGTATCCATCCTAAGGTACTGGAGATAAAAAGATGGAAAAAAATACTTACTGCTGCTAAACCTAGGGAAAATTCGGGAATGATCCATTTCATCACTAGTAATACACTCTGGTAATTTAACATAGCTATTGAAAATGACCATTTATAGTGGATTTTCCCATTAAAAATGGTGATTTTCCATAGCTATGTTAGTTTACCAGAGGGTAATCATCCCAGCAACCCCCAGCAACCCATCCAGCAACCCTACGTTCAGCGCCTCGCGATTCACCGCCCCCACGGCTGCGCCCAGGCGCATGGGGCCGCCCAGGAAGGAGTCCTTCGGGCAGCAGCTCCCCAAGGGGACAAAATGGTGGGAAACTCCCAACGGGACTTGGAGCTGAGCTGAATCTATAGTTGGAATAACTTGGATCCAGATTGGCATGTGTGATTTGGAAATTGATTTCTCAAGTGAATTTGGACTATGTCATTCCTCGACTGCGCTTGGATGGCATGAGTTGAAGTGGCATGATCTGATTTCAGTTCGTCCTGGTGCCAAAAGCCGCTGTCCGTCTGATCGCCCAAGGCCTAACCACTCAACAACGGGTCATCGAACGGGTCAAGATGTGACCAAAGTGACCAGTGGTAATTTCACCAACAGAAGTGGGATATCATGGAATATTCACCAACATAAGTGGGATGCCATGGAATATGAATGGAAAATGAATGGATTATTCATGGACTAGTCATGGAATATGTTTGTGGGGATGCAATGGGACAAGATATCCCCAAACTAAATGGGTCTTAAATGGAGAAAGAATCAAACTCAATGGGAGAAGCATCAAACTCAATGGGGGATTGGCCATTGCGATGTTTGATTACCAAAGGAATATATGTATAATTAATACACAATACATATATATATATACATCGACAAGGTAAGGGTCAAACCTGTTGATCACCAAAAGGCTAAAAACTTCGAACTTGCCAAACTTGTATTTCCCTGAATCTGAAAGATTGACTCATTTTTTGGTCTCAATTTCAAAATGATCCACGACCAACAAAACGTAAAAAGAGACGAACATCTACCCTCTCCACACAAAACAGACATGCCCAAAAAACGTGTATATATACATCATGAGGAAAAATGGTTTACATCATCTATATCATCGTCAATCATCAATGATATAAACAGTTATGACTATCGAATATCATCAATCATCAATATACATCGTAGATCATAACCATAAATATACATCATAGATCATAACCATATATACATCATAGATCATAACCATATATCGTTATCATAAAGATCATCAATCATCTATCATAGATATATCATTATAGATCAAAATCATTACAGTTTACATATAATCTATCATCATCCATCCAGATGGCAGCATCTTCCACTCCCGATGGGCGCCTCATAGTCGCAATTCGCCAAGATGCTGTGCACCACATCGCCTGGGGAACCGCTAGGGATCAAATGGATCAAAACCCTGCGGTTTAAGCTGCGAATATGTAAGAATAGCTGATGATTGGGATGTCCTTCCCAAAACAATCTGGTATCTATATATGACATTAGCATATTGTTATACTTATCATGGTATATATATATATATATATAATTATATTAGTATAGTAATGTATAGCCGTATAGCATAGGTTTTGCCCATCCCCATGTTGCCATCGTTGCACAATCAGATAATATTTCTTCAGGCAAAGCTAAGCCACAAATATGCATCAAATATCCAAATCCAAGCCAAATATGCATCTATATCTACCCCACCTCACATCATCACATCATCTACACCACCAGCTCTTGGTGGTAAAACTTCAATAATGTCCTTTTGGTAAAAATTTACCGGGGCCGGTTTGGGATACCATCTATCATCATTTACCTGTTGTTAAAGGGGCTTCCTCAGACCCCTCTATTAATCAACCAACCAATGGGAAAAGGACATCGCTAAAACACTCCGTTCCCCATGTGTTTAAGGGGCCTTCAATCCCCTGCGCCACCATGTCGTCGTGCAACTTCTGGCGCTCCTGGAGGTTGGAGGGAAAGTCTTAACCGGAAAGCCTGGGTTTTCCCCATCAAATGTAGAGGTTTCCTGTTAAAATGTGCTGTGCCCTGAAGCCTTAAACGCATCCAATGATTGAAGGGAGGCATTTTTGGAAATATGGAGTGAAATTCTGAAATTGAACGAATGATAGATGCAACAAGGATACAATTTTTGACATTGAAAGGTTGGGAGTACAGCCCCCTAAATGTCACGAGGAACACCTAACAAGGGCCATATCCGATGCAACTCAAATCGTCCTGGCGACCCCGTTTTGGCCCCATTCCATGCTGGATGGTGTACCCTCTGACACCGGAAATATCACCATGTTCACCATGAGTATCCCACTAAATCACCATCTGGTTGGTGGTTGACCTACCCCTCTGAAAAATATAAGTTCGTCAGTTGGGATGATGACATTCCCAATATATGGAAAAATAAAAAATGTTCCAAACCACCAACCAGCCATTCATATTCCATAAGAATATTCCATCCTGGTTCTGTTCCTACTATATTCCCATGATATTCCCGTTATGTTCCGATAAATCAAAGAAATGTATCAACCCCAGTGGCTATCACTTGGTTCTGCATAAAACGTTCGTCCAGACCACAGGGGTCCCCATGCCTCATCGTTGCGATAGCACAAGCCATTCAGGCCCTGTTCCATGCCGCTGGTCAGATCGGGTATGCCATACCTGTCATCACAGCGTGTTCAATCGTGGTCTGAAAGTACTTAGATGAGCACGGGGATTAGTTACAGTAAGTGGTTAGGAACTGGCGGAAATGATTGGCTAAGTAGTGGATTATCAAGCAGCTACTAACTACTTAACTAAGTTCATGGCCCATCTAAGTATGGTTTATCGTCACTTTTCCCATTTTTTTGATGCCTAACATTGGCATCATGCTGACCATGAAATGGGGCGGAGCATTTTGGACTAACAAACCCCGCATATCTGTAGCCCATCCAATCCTGGTTGGAGGTCAAACCCAACTCTCAAAGTTGTTGGCTGTAGGTACCCTCTAGTAAACTAACATAGCTATGGAAATCACCAAGTCTAATAGGTAAATCATCAAACTAAATGGTCCATCATGGCTTCCGTTGGCTAAATCTGCATTTGCTGCCATGAAATTCCCATGTTTGATGGTCAAGTTCCCTTTCCCATCCCTGCACCATCATCTAAAATGTCTACCCTCTGGCTATTTAACGTCATCACCAGTTTGAATAGGTAAATCATTAAATCATGGTAAATCATCATGTTTATCATCTACAAATGAGCCATCCATACCTATAGCTACCTTAAATCAGAGGGGTAACTCCCATTTCTGGCATATTTTGGGCATATTTCCCCAACCCCCAACCCCCATCCCCCATTTTTTGTATATCTTTGATACCCCCAACACCCCCACCCAACCCCATCCCCCATCCCCATCCCCCAACCCCTCGGCCCCCACCATGTGAAGCTCCAGGCCATAGCGATGATGAGGCGCCACAACTCGTGGCCCTGCCGCGGCGAGCTCAGCAGCTTCCTGACGTCACGGGACCTCGGAGTGTGGCGCATGGCAAGGCCATGGGGGGGTGGTTACTGCAACGAGTTGAAGGTGATGAGTTTTTTACAGGTCCGAAAATCTAAAATAAGATCTATTGGATTCATATAGATTCTATTTGTAAACAGTCTGTTTGCAACTATAGAAACGTTTTTTCCAAGGAATCCTTCATTCATTTTAACGAAAACATAGCTGTTGAGGGCACGAAACACATGGATAGACCTGAAACACATGGATAGACCTGGATAGATCATGTATATATCTGATCTCTTTAAAAAAAATATGCCAAGAAAACCTCCAACCACCATGACTTCCATCCCCATCCCCATCCCCACCCCCACCACATCCACCAAGCGTCTCCGCCCCCGCCAGCGCCAGCCGCATCTTCCCCGTGGCCAAGGCGGTGCGCGAGCGCGCGATGGCCGCAACGGCGCCTTCCTGTTCGTAGAGACCCATGGCCTCACGGCGGCTGGTGGCGATGATTCGGGCTATGGCCCAGGTGAAAATGAAGCCTTTAGGAAGCACTGTGGATGAGCGATCTTGATTTTTCGAACTATTTGATTTAAAAAAATAAATAAATAAAGATTCAATGTAATGATCCGCTTTTTGGTGAGTGAGCCATAAAAAAGGGGGGCAAAGTGGGGCACCAGCGCGAGGCTGTTGCTTGAAGTCACTATACAGTGTAGGCACTACAGCATCTGCTCAAGCGCTTTGCATGTGGGCAAGCTCTGATCAATATGATTGCTGGAGAGGTCCAGTTCAATAACCGATTGCAGTCTATGAAAATGGGATGGCAAAGGATGTCAGCCTATGGTGAAGATTGCCATAATTTCAGCTTCCCAACCCCACCACCATATTGCGGAATATCCTTTGCCACCAAACCAAGTCTTCACAAAAAAATGAATCTTATCATATTCAAAATCATAAATCTGATTCTCCCCGGAAACATGTTGAAACCGTCCTTCCACCCTTCAACCAGCACCACAGACCGTCTGGCACCACCATCCCCACCACTTCCCTCGACTGCCGTCACAGGTACGTCGCTGGCACCCAGCACGCTGTCACGGAGGTGGAAGACCTCCTGCAGCGGATAGCCTGGGCTCCAGGGGTGGTCGGGCCACGATGGTATTGACCAAAATGGGAAAGGAAAAAACTGGGGAAGAACTCTGGCTATATCTTGAAGTAATAAAAAGAATAGTAAGAAATTCTATCTGGCTATATCTGAATATGATTCTGAACTCTATCTTGAAGGAATAGAGGGAATAGAGTAATAAAGGGTAAATTGCCATTCGGATTGATTGATGGAAATGCTGGTGCATAAGCTACTAGGGATAGGAACCAACAGAAGTAGGGAGGGGACAATTTCTATCTTCGCAATCCATTGTCTTATTGATTTAGAAATTCATGTCCAACTTGGCAAACTGCAAGACGCTTTTACGATTGAACAAGGCTGTCTTGGAAGTATGTTTCGCTTGACAGCAGCGTGAGCAAACCTGGCTGACTGCTCTAACTGGCAAACACCCTGCGCAGTGGCCTTTTCCTAATTTCCTCCCGAGCAAACTCAAGGCGGCGAGGATTGTTCCATTGCTATCGATTCTTGTTCCGCACTACAAGCGATACAAAACGCTTGTGGAATGCTTCTTCTGTCAGAGACATTGCACCTCTCAGCTTGCCCAAACTGCCTTGCTTTGAAAGAACATGCACGCGGTCCTCTAGCCGCTGCTGGCTGTACGAAAAGATCCGGGGGCATTGGGCGACCAGCCCTACAAAACGGCTGGGTGTCAGGAACCATTGCAAAAGCTTCACCTTGTTCTTGAGATTTTTGTGGATGCTCAGGCCAAGAACTGGAGGAAAGTTGGCCACTGCCTTCGCAACCTGACTCTTTGTCAGCCCCAAGTCTGACAACCATTGCACTGTGGGTTTCAAGTTCTGATCGATGCTAAGGCCAAGAATTTGAGGAAAAGTGGCCACTGCCTTCGCAACCTGACTCTTTGTCAGCCCCAAGGTTGACAACCAGTGTATTTTGCGTTTCAAGTTCTGATCTATGCTGTAGCCCAGAATTTGAGGAGAAGTGGCCACTGCCTTCGCGACCTGACTCTTCGTCAGGCCCAAGTCTGACAACCATTGCACTGTGGGTTTCAAGTTCTGATCGATGCTGTAGCCCAGAATTTGAGGAGAAGTGGCCACTGCCTTCGCAATCTGACTCTTCGTCAGGCCCAAGTCTGACAACCATTGCACTGTGGGTTTCAAGTTCTGATCGATGCTGTAGCCCAGAATTTGAGGAAAAGTGGCCACTGCCTTCGCAACCTGACTCTTTGTCAGGCCCAAGTCCGACAACCAGTGTATTTTGGGTTTCAAGTTCTGATCGATGCTGTAGCTCAGAATTTGAGGAGAAGTGGCCACTGCCTTCGCAACCTGACTCTTCGTCAGGCCCAAGTCTGACAACCAGTGTATTTTGGGTTTCAAGTTCTGATCGATGCTAAGGCCAAGAATTTGAGGAAAGTTGGCCACTGCCTTCGCAACCTGACTCTTTGTCAGCCCCAACTCTAAGAACCATTGCACGGTCGGCTGCAAATTCTGATCGATGCTGCACCAGAGAATTGGCGGATAAGTGGCCACTGCTTTCGCAACCTGACTCTTTGTCAGCCCCAACTCTAAGAACAATCGCACTGTGGGCTTCAAGTTCTGATCGATGCTAAGGCCAAGAATTCGAGGAGAAGTGGCCACTGCCTTCGCAACCTGACTCTTTGTCAGCCCCAAGTATGACAACCATTGCACTGTGGGTTTCAAGTTCTGATCGATGCTGTAGCCCAGAATTTGAGGAGAAGTGGCCACTGCCTTCGCAACCTGACTCTTTGTCAGCCCCAAGTCTGACAACCATTGCACTGTGGGCTTCAAGTTCTGATCGATGCTGTAGCCCAGAATCAGAGGATGAGTGGCCACTGCCTTCGCGACCTGACTCTTTGTCAGCCCCAAGTCTGACAACCAGTGTATTTTGGGTTGCAATGTCCGCTCAATCGACGTTCCACAACATACTCCCTGCTGCTGCATCAGCTTGCAATCTTGAAGTGAAAATCCTTTCGCAGACAGGAAGTGCGAAATTTCATCTGTTGTATTGCCACTTCCTACCACTACCGTTGCGTGTACAAGCAGCTGTGCCTCCAATGACAGTTTGCTGCTACCGCTACAAGTGTGACTGTCCAGTCGACTTCTCACTCTCGGATGCACCAGTTCCACAAAACCAGAAGTCTTCAGCTGCACGAAAATGTCCATCAACACAGTTGACAGTGACTTCTCCTCACCTCGAGTCCAGGTGTCAGCCTTGACCCAAAGAACATTCCCTTGCAACGGCCTGTTGGTGGTATGGCTGATGCGAATCACATATGACCCTGCAGGGGCATAGGTCAACAGCGCCGCATTTTTCTTCATATCTTTCTCCATCCCCTCCTTTTCCTCATGGCGCCAATATCCATCATATTCCACAAATAATGCAGCATCCTCATCTTTCAACACCCCGTACAAACTCAGATCTGGTTCCAAATAGTTTCCACCCCACCCCTCTGGGGCTGGGAAGTTACGGAACATTTCTTCGAGGGGAGCCGAATCCAGCATCAACAAGGCAGCCACTTGCGATAGCAACTCCGCCTCAGCCATGCTGTTCATCTGCTGTCGTGGCCATCCTTCAGGTGACAATGGTTGCCGTTAGACTACAAGTACCAAAAGTGTCATGCTGAAAAGGGGGGTGGATTGCACAATGATGAGGTATATTCCAGGCTCATTGTGAAATCCATATCTGTTTCAATCAAGAGAGGCTTGAGACACAACAAACCTGATGAAACGGAAAAAGATCCAACTGTACTTTTACGACAACGCAGAGACTGCCCCTCTCCTTGTCGCCACCACTCCGGCACCACAAAAGCCATCGGCACCACCGCCATCAACATGACGAGGAGAGTCCCCCGGCGCCCGTGGCGCGGGTTCCAACGTGGCGCGGGGCGCTTCATGTCACACGCCCCAAGGGCAGACGATGGACGGATGGGCCTGGGAGCCTGATGGCAGATCCTGATGAAAACCTGCCACCCTTTAGGTGATACAAAGGTCCAAGAGTCCGCAAGGAAGTAAGGAACCCCCAAACTTTGAAAAAATTGGAATCAACACCTCACCCCAGAAAACACTTTAAGTTCCCAGAAGATTCCAATCTGCCAAGATCACCCCAGCAGAAACGACTCTAGCCAGGCAGCTCGAAAGGAGCCCGGGTTCTTGGTCAGGCAGCGCACTGTAATACCTCAGGATCAAGCAGTCATATCAACTCTGATTTCCCAAGCCTTGTCAGTTTGACTTATCATTCCATCCCTGTTTACGGATCTACATGGCAATTTCACCATGATTTGGGAAAGGGTTATGTATTCGACCCTCAAGCCCACGATTCGAATTGGGTGGCCGCGTTTAACCAGCAAAGTCTTCAATTTGAACAGTGTTGATGGAGCGGTCAACATCTCCTCCGCAGCCAGAATCGAATCTGTTCCTTACTCGGAAATCTAAATAGATGCATTATACATATAGGCAATTAATATGCATTGAACTAAAAAAACGATAAATTGATGAGAAATCATATTGAACATCATTCAAAAATGGTCATGCTCGACTTTTCGATACCTCTCATCAGGTCAGCATCTCAAAAAATGTCCAAGACCTCAAGTCCTCCCGGCACCAGATCTCTTCGCGACAGGCAACTGGCACAGCTCCTCCAAAACACCCTGCACTTTCCTCAGGACACAGCGAAAGACTGCACATTCACAAAGTAAAAAAAGAACGCAGCTTGCCCAAGAAAAGTGAGTGGCTCAATCTTCACCTGTGAGTGGCTCAACGAAGGCAACACAAAGCCACACCCATGTCACCCAAGTGCAAGGTGAGGCCCCAGAGTTAGAAGTTGGTTTATAAAGCCATTAACTAGTTGTTATATATTTGCACCAACTTAGCTATCGTTTAGGGGCACCATCTACCCTAAATGCCATTATATCCCACTATGTCCCTATAATCCCTGTATATTCATAATTTGATTTATCCATAACATACCATAAATTCCCATAGTTGTTTCATAGTCAATTCGATCCCAAGCATCTTCGGCAGCGTCCGCGGCCCCTCACGGCCCTGCACGCGACCCAGGTAGCTCTCGCCGAAGGGCGTGGTGGCCTCCCAACGGGACAGGGGGTGGCGGGGCTATGGCGGATGAAGCCACCAGTGACATCTGAGAAGCTGCGGAAAAAACAAAGGAAACAACATGAAAAAAGTATATACCAAAAAGTACTAACAAGATGGATCTTGGGCTATTCTGGCTTAGCTTCCAATGTTCAAAAACATAAAAAGGAGAAATGATGAGAAATGGATCTTGGTTGGGATTCTCAGCTTCAGTTTCTGTGGGTTGAAAAATGCAAGTGCTGGATCCAAGTCCTCCTCTTACTTTTGTGGGACCTTCCATTGTTGTTTCTTGTCTTCGATCTCCATACCTGCTATGAACCTCTTCACGTTGTACTCCGGCGCCTGGTTCACCTCTCCCACGATGAAGAAGTTCTCCTTGCCCAACGCGGAGGCGTAGAAGCGCAGGTGTGTCGAGAGGTACGCCTGCACAGGCTGTGCACGAGGGCACTCCATGGAGCGCGGCAGTATCATGTTGTGGTAGCATCCTCCAGGGATACCAGCTTGACTCTTGTATACTCTTCTAAGATTACAGTACATGATAGTACATGTAACCATTGCCAAGTTCAAGTTTGCATGCGTCTCTCTTCATTTCAAAATGCGTTCGAACCTTGCAAACTAGCTTCATTTTCCCCAAAAAAATCCAGTTAAGCCATGTTAATCAACCCAAAAACCCAACCCCAGCAACCCCAGCAACCCCAACCCCCTTCCCAGCCACACCACACCACCCCCCACCGTGAAGTCCGCCGTGACGTGCGAGGCCGCCGTGAGGCGGTAACCATCCAGGTCCACCTCGGCGATCCAGTACCTGAGTCACCGCGTGGACGCGGCGCTGGGGGATGACCAGGGGGATGCAGGGTGGAAAGGTTGGCAAAGATCTAAGAAACCTGTTGATGATGGCCAAACATCTAGGAATTATAAGGGGTTGTACCCAGTAGGCGGTTGTAATCTCGTTCGGATGATGAGTTTGGAGCTGATGTCCACACCAAACTTTTGTTTGGAGATGTTGTAAGACTCTACAGTAAAGCCTTTGAACGCTACGGAGTTTTCTTTGAGGGATAGTTTGATAGTTTGCGGGTGAGAGATCACTCCCTCTTCGTTGCTTACTATCTGCTTACTATCCAGCAAACTTCACCATTTTCTTCGAAAAATACCCACAGTTCAGTACTTCTTCATCCCCCAAAAAGTTGGAATCCAAGGGGCTTCAGCATATTGGTGTACAGCTCTTGCAGCACGGGGTTCATGGTATTCAGCTCAAAGGCCGTGTCCTGGGGAAAAGTTGGCATGGCTCAATAGTAGGGGAGCCACTGGAGCCAGAAATTCCATGATTTTGAACAAGAAAAAAACAATTCTGGGATTCATATGTTTGAGAAATTCGAGCCATAGACCTGCGATAAAGACTTGGAGACACCCAAAATCCCCTCTTCCAACCAGCAAGTTCCTCTTCGTTTCAGAAGCTTACGACCCAGCTTTTGGGAAACTCCAAGCCATGTCTCCTGGAAGATCTCTGGGAAGAGCCTTGGCGGCATGGCTGTGACATGACAAGGGCCTCAAAACAGTGGTTCCTCGACATGAAGGCTACTCCAAGATGCTTAAGATGTCTTCATTGCAGGAATCACGGATTACCGGAGAGGAGGGCTAGAACCATTTCGACGAAAGACCAGAATCATGTCTCAATGGTGAATGTTTTAACTTTACGGTCACTTGGCACGGATTCGGTGTTCCCACCAAGTTCCAGATACCCTCCGGTAAACTAACATAACTATGGAAAGATCCACCATTTTTTATGGGCAAATCCACTATAAATGGCAATTTTCAATAGCTATGTTAAATTACCAGAGGGTAACAACCATTTGTTTGTTGGAAATGATGTCCTCTTCCAAGCGTTGTTTGGGTAATGTTTTGCTCAAAATCGCAGAAGTGTTGGATCTGAAAAGGATGTCTCGCTTGGACCATCCAATTGCTCATTTTTTTAAAAAAAAAAGTTTCACCATCCTTGGTCCCAAACCATTGTATTCTATTGGTTTTGACATTTGGCAGTGTGTCAAAACCAATAGTACCCCTGTAGTTCACATCAAAATAGCTGGTAAATGGATGTTCATCCCACTAAAAATGGTATTAATAGGTATTGATCCATACCCATTTTGACATGGATGGTTTGAATTTCCCACCCATGTCAGTAACCAATAGACTTCACACCCGCCGCCACCATTCATCCACCAGCCCCGCTGGGCGTCCCCGACAACCCCGCTGCGATAGCCGTGGCGTTCTCGGCCGGCAGCGAGCGGAAGTCGCGGCCGCCGGGCCTGGCAAAGGGTAGAAGTCATCGAGAAACATCGAAACGAGATTGAGTATTTTAGATTGAAGAATTTGGTTTAGATTTCAATGTTAGATAGTTTGCGAAAGTAATCCAATTTGGAACAATTCTATCGTATAAATTTGATAGATTGGTTCAATCTCTAATTATAGAATCAGATAATTGTAACAATCCACACCTTGTTTATCCAAAAACTAAATTACAATCGCTTTACTGTCCTATTCCAAAGGAAAATCAACATCCATCAACATCCATCAACATCCATCAACATCCATCAACATCCATCAACATCCATCAACATCCTATACCTTGTCCTAAAACAAAAAAAACATCTAAATTCTCCATACCCTCTGGTAATTTAACGTAGCTATTGAAAATGACCATTTATAGTGAGTTTTCCCATTAAAAATGGTGATTTTCCATAGTTATGTTAGTTTACCGGAGGGTAACCACCGTGGTTTCGCCGGCAATTGCCGCCGCCGTCGCGCCTGTAGAGCTTGGCCGGGCCGCAGCGGGTGAAGAAGGACTGGTGCCGCAGGAAGGACGGCAGCGAGTCACCGAAGCCGAGGCGCCCGCCTCGGTGTGGAGCAACACGGAAGATGTGGGGAAAGATTGGGGATTGATGTGGGGGGATGGGAATCTATCAGAAATCTATAAGAAATGTGGGGGGGATAGGAAATCTGGATAGAAATCTAGAAATCTATAAGAAATGGCGGATGAATTTGATGACTTGATGAATGAAATTTGATGAATTGATGAATCGAGAGTGACATCCGGAATCGTTTAGGGAATGTTTCATGATCAAGAATTGGTTACCCTAAAAATCGGAAACAAATCAGGGGACTGCGACGAAGAAAACCCACAATCATAGGGGATGATGAGATCTTGAGGGGCCACGAACTCCCTTTTTGGTGTATGGATTGGCTAGATGTAGACATCCCTTGAGCAGTGTTGACACTAACAAAATAGAACGAAATAGGTTTGAAAAAATGGATCCAGTTACAAAATCACCATCTTTAAAAAAGGCAAATCATCGCATTTTGTCATCGAACTAAATGGGGTCATCTATACCATAGCTATGTTAAAATAACCAGAGGGTAACACCCTCAGTTGTCATGGTCTAACCATCTTAAACCACCATTTTTGATAGTTAAACCATATAAAACCACATTTTCTCATGGTTAAACCAGTTGAACCCTCCATTTTGTGATGGCAAATACCCAATAGCCAAGCAACGTCCGAACTCGTTGAGAGGTGTCCCGCGTTCCGAGTCCCAGTAGGTCTCACCCGTCCTCAATTGACGTGGGAAGGGCACCCAAAAAAATAGGTAAGTTGCTTCATTTCACCCACAGTTAGATGGGGTTATAAAGCAACAGAACTGGGAGGAAGGCTTTTCGTCTTGACAGGATGATTACATAATCGAAGCAAAGTTTCTTGCTGAATTTTGGGATGGTTGATACATGGTATGTACACTACAGATTAGTTTTGAAGAAGCTGAACCCGTGGTCCTTGGAGCTTTGAAAATTTAGTTGTGGATCGGAAACCTTCATCGTGTCCTGGGTTTCAACACCGAAATCTAGCTGGTACAGTTGGATGTTCATCTCACCCACCATTCATTTTCTTAGGGGCCTTGAATAGGTCTTGACCTAGAGGTCTATACCCAGAGGCAAGGGAAATGTTGGAGACGTTCACAGGGTTTACTGAATTGAAGAACAAGATGGCAATCCAAAATTAGGCCCATCAACTACCCAAAAGAAATCCACGGACCATCCAGAAATGCATTTGGAAATGCTTGGAAGAGGATTTGGCAATCAAACATCGCCGGTTCCATGTCTTCCCCTCCAATTAACAAGAAAACATAATAAAACTATTTTCGTCGGCATTCCTGGACTCAAACTTGGAAATGTCAGCCCAGTAACCATGTGCCCGTACCCAAATTCACTGCGGTGAACATACATCTAATGAGCTGGTATAGCTACAAATGTTCATCTCCCAGCCATGTGACAGAATTGAAGCTATATTGGTATAGTTACCCTACCCAAGCATCGTTTCTGGTTCGTGATGGCATCATTGTGATGTCGCCAGACTGTCTGGCTGAAATCATCCCAACATTCCGAATCATTCCGAATCATCTCTAAAATGCCAATCTTCAACCCATGTTCAATCCATCTTCCACTCATTTTGGTCCCATATCCCCACCACCACCGGACCACCAAGGCGCGACAGGACGCAGTTGCTGACACCGTCCACGCCGCTGTTGGCGCCCAGATATTTCAAGCCGCCACCGCAGGCGTGGTTCACTTGCCTTGGGATGGGCTGCTTGACCGCCATGGGATTGGGTTTAATATGATAGGGTTATAATATGGCTTTAATATGGCTGTAATGATGGCTTTAATGATGGATTTAATATGCATTTCATATGGGTTTAATGGTAGTTGTAATTTCAGGTATATAGTGGGAAGATGTGGAGAAGCAGAACTGGCAGGAGTCCATCATCGCAGGATTGAAATGTGTTTGGCCTTTCTTCAGTTTAGGTATGATGTACGCCGCAGATCTAAGAAACATGGACAGGTGGACAGCAGGTCCACAACTGAGACCACCCCAACTGTCTGTATTTATTGGGAAAGTCACCAAAATCTGACTCCAATACTTTTTCAGGTCAGCCCAACCCCCATCTTTTCCCACAAATCCAAGCAACACGTCCAGGACCACCTTCAGACCCAAGGTGTGCGCATCGTGCACCAATTCCCTCAACAACTCCTGGAGAATCCGTAGCTGTCTGAAGGTGCACTGGATTGCTTTCAAGGGAAGAATTGTGAGGAAAAAATATGTTTACCATGTTTCAAGGGGAAGTCTATAGAAAATCTGTAGCTTGACCATCACCATCCAATTTGTAGGTTTCCTGTAGATTCTTCCCTGACACCAAGGACCACATCTGGGAAAAACATATTCTTCACTGATTTTGTTCATAACCGGTTCAAAATGAACTGCTCAGCAACCCCGTCCTTGTTGCCGAAGTTCGAGTCGATGCTGGTCAGGTCCTCGCAGTGAGCCATCGACAGCAGTCATTCGAAGTGAATGGAACAAGCTCTGGGGTGGTCGTCGAATCACCTGGTGCTGAAGTTTCAAGGTGTCTTTACTTCAGGAAATGTCCTGTTCAAAAATGGCCAGAATATATCAGCATATCATCATTCGTAAGTTGATATGTTCTGCCAATAGTTTCAGGCCACACCTACCAGTACATTGCTCTCACCACTTACACTCACGCCCAAAAACGGCACAGCATACCACCCATCTATCCCTGCAGCAAATGGCTGTCCGTTGTGCAGGAGCCGTGATACTCTCCAGCACCTAGCAGGCAGCTGCTGATGGCGGCTGTAGATACAGTATGATACATTGACCGTGGCTTGGGAGAGGGGAAAGAAGGATCTGGCTCAAGATAATTTCTGGTTCAAGTATGTGTACCTGTACTTCTCAGCAAGAAACAAACTTGAACATGCAAACCCACAAGTCGTTTTGCAGAAGCGAGCTCCCTCAACTTCCAAGTCTATCCCTGGTGCTATCCCTTACCGCAATAAACATGCACCAAAAAACAAACTTGACACCCTGCCCTCTGCCACATCAACCCACCACCAGGTGCCCGTGAGGAGTCCCGTCCCTTGACTCCAAGCGGCTGTTCAGAAAGATGGGCGACAAGGCCAGGACGGTGACGCCCAAATCCCTCAGGTAACCTGCAGCGGAGAGGCATCGGCTAGGGGGATGGCCTCCAGGTGATTTCGGGGCTGGAATGAGGGTATGTCTCATGTAATGTAGCTGCACCCTAAACAAGCGAGCAGTTTGGGATGAATTTTATCCAACTTTGATGATTCTTCCACAACAGTTCTTAGTTCTCCTTCCATGCACCATCACAAAATACCAAAAAGAACGAGGTTGGAGGAAAGCCAAATATCTTGGAACATCAAAGCTATTGCAGCCCACCTATCAGCTCCACCAAACCAAGGCACTGAGGCGTGACTTCACGCCGTGCAAATCTCCGCCATGGCGCCAGCGCTGGACGGACCTCAGTTCTTGCAGGGTGTGGGTGGCAGGAGCTCAAAGTCAATGGCCACAAAAAACGGTGGTTTGGGAGTCAATTTGGCCGAAAGATGTGTAATGTCAAGTGAGGATTAATAATGCCCTCCCGATTAATCAACAGAAACTGCCAAAAAAAAATGTAATTTAAAAACAGGTGGTCCCCCCAAGATTAATATTTCTTTTGGCCTACCCCCGATTAATCAACAACCGCTTCGGAAATCCATTTTTTTATCCAACATTTTTTATTTCCAATTCTATTTATTTCCAATTGTTTTTTTTACCTTTTTTTTAATCATCATTGTTATACTTCAGGTTTAAGTTGATCATTGAAAATTTCAAAAAACAACTATTCCCCAAATGATCGATTTCTAATTAAAATCTTTTTAAAAATCATCAGTTTGGATAGCTTCCAAAGGGTACCCCCCATGAGCCCATGTCCCCCATTAATAATAACCAGGGTTTGCCCCTGATTAATCAACCACCTTTCTGATCCATGAAATTTTAACAAATCCAATGGAATTCTATTAAGATCTAATTGACGTAAGCCATATCCAAAGTTTTATGGTTCAGAGTTGCTTATTATTAAGGGGCGATCAAGAAAACCAGTCAGAAGGTACCTCCCTACCTTCTGGGGG